CTGGCGCCGCTGCTCTCCAACCTCAGCCAACGCCCTGCGGCGAGGGCCTTCCTACTGGACCCCGACAGGTGAAGCCCAGGGCGCCCGCGCGGGCGGGGAGGGGACGGAAGTTAACGGGGACGGCCCTGAGTGACCCCTCCCAACAGGTGCGTGGTCCAGCGGCTGCTGCCCCTTACCCAGTACCCCGATTCCTCTGTACGCAGGGGCGGGGTGGTGGGAACGCTGCGGAATTGCTGCTTCGAGCACCGTGAGTGGTGGGTGTGGCGGGGGGGCGTCGCCAGGGGTGGGGACTGGACTCCGGGCTGCTCTGGACCAGTCTCTATTCCTGTCTCCCTACCCTCACCGTCCCTCAGGACATCACAAGTGGTTGCTTGGACCTGAGGTGGACATTCTCCCCTTTTTGCTCCTGCCCTTGGCTGGGCCTGAGGATTTCTCCGAGGAAGAGATGGAACGTGAGTGGCTAGTGTGGAGCCTCAGACTTGGCCAGAGAGGAGGGAGGCCAGTGGAGGGAGAGAGAGGTGTCCAGGCCACAGGCTCCTTCTGAAACCTTGCAGCAGTGAGTTTGCTGAGCACAGGTGGGACTTACACAGGCAGAGCCTGGCGCAGCTGCCCAGCTCAGGGACACAGTGGCTCCCACACACTCACCCCTAGGGCTGCCTGTGGACTTACAGTACCTACCACCAGACAAGCAGCGAGAACCTGATTCAGACATCCGCAAGATGCTTGTTGAAGCCATCATGCTGGTGAGCAGGAGCCCTGCTGCAATAAGCACCATCCCTGACACACACACACGAGCATGCTGACATCTGGGTAACCTCTTCCACCTCCTCAGCTGACAGCCACAGCACCAGGTCGGCAGCAGGTGCGGGACCAGGGAGCCTACCTGATCCTTCGAGAGCTGCACAGCTGGGAGCCAGAGCCCGACGTGCGGGCGGCTTGTGAGAAGCTCATCCAGGTTGGTGCAGGGTTGGAGAGGCTGGGGAAGGGGTGTCTGTAGCTGGCCAGCTGCTCACCTGCCTCCCGTCTGGCAGGTGCTTATTGGGGATGAGCCTGAACCTGGCATGGAAAACCTGCTGGAGGTGCAGGTGCCTGAGGATGTGGAGCAGCAGCTACAGCAGCTGGATTGCCAGGAGCAGGAGCAGTTGGAGCAGGAGCAGGAGCGGGAGCTGGAGCTGGCCCCAGAGCCATGGGTGGAGAGGGCCACACCCACCTGAGGCCCCTGCAGCCAGACACCAGCTCCATGGTCCCCTTTGCCAGGCTTTCTCAGACCAGGCCTTCCTGCAGCTGCCTACAGGCCCCTTGAGTCCCCTTGCTCAGAGACTGTGCCCTGCTGAGAAGCAGAGCTACACTTAGGCTCCAGTAAGAATTGGAGGCACTTCCCAGCCCTGTGCAGTGTTGCTACCAGCAAGAATGAAGGTTGTGCACAGCAGTACTGTGGGCCAGGCACCGTGACTCGGCTGCCTGTGCAGAAGGTGGAGGTGGCAGGCGGATAGCCAGGGAGCCATGAGAAGACTCTTCCTGGGCACAGCATGGGGACTGGACAGAAAACCACTGCAAGCCCCAAGGAGCCAGTTGAAGCTTCCAAGTCCCCAGGGCACTGCAGGGTCTGGACAGAGGTATAAGTGCTGCTTTGTCAGCCCCACTCCCTGCGGCTCTCAGCTCCCTGTTCCCTGAGACCTGGCCTCAAAGGGCTGACCCAGCCATACCTAGATCCTGGGTTCTTTCTAGGACTGTGCCTCCCTGCTTGACCTGTGCTCCAGGACCCTGCCCTCAACCTTTGTCAACTCCCTGTGTCTTCCTGTTTCCCAGTCTCAGATTGGGTGGGTGCTCTCACTGGCCTCTCTAGCTAGGCCATCTCCCTGGTCAGCTTCCTTGAGCCTGGGCCACTCCTCCCTGGCCTTCCTACCCTAGCCTCCAGATGTGCCTGCAGCCTGGCCCCTGTCCAAGCCACCCTTTGCCCCTGTGGTAGAGCCCACTATGGGCTCAGGGATCTTACCTGCTTCTCCCTTGGACCTGTGAGCATCCCCCCACCTGCCAGGTCCGTGGCTGCTAAGCCCCACAGGGGCTTGCCACACTCTTCCCTTCCTGAGCCGATCTGACCTCACTGCCACCTCTTGCACTGGGCTCATGAGGGCTGGCCCCTTCTCACTGATGGGCCCTCCCAGGCCCCTTGAACCCTGGTGAAGGAGCTTAACTTGTTTTCTTGAGCGTTCACAATGCCTCACTCCACACCCTAAAACTGGAGGCTCAGGTGCCAGGCGTCTCCCGCCTCCAGGATCTCCTCTCACCTGCCCCCAATAAAGCTCTGCCACTCATGCAGGCATGTGTGGACCATGTTTTCTCCTGGCCAGAGCCCCCGCCTGCCACTGGAGGCCACTTGCCCTCTCAGCACTCAGACATCTGCACTCTCTTCACAGAATAAATGCTTTATTTGGCCTTGCCCCACCCCCCCCCCGCCCTCAGTTTACTGGAAGGCCTCCTGGAGGCGCTCACTCCTAGGCTGGCTGCCACAGTGCTCCAGAGCACCAGCTGGGCAGAACCCACCCCTCTTCTGGGGTGTGCTTCCAGAGGCCTGAGCTCAGGGCCCCCGTTCTCCTTGGGGATGTCCTGCTGATGGGGGCAGTGCAGCTACAGGACTGGCCATTGGCGCTCTAAGTCTGTACCAGGCTCCAGGTCATCCATGGATGCTGGGAATTGGGACTGCACCTGCTTCTCTGCAAGGGACCACAGTGGGGTCAGGTGGAGTGCAGAGGGACCACGTGCTGCTCAGTTGCTCACCCACAGGGCCACACCACACCTGGCACAGCACTGAGGAAAAGGGTGTTCGCTGCAGGCCCAGGCATGTGTTTGGACACAGCTGCAGCAGCCCCCAAATCAGGTCCTGGCACTGTGGGCGAGGGCTCACAGCTGCAGCCTCTCACCACTCCAGCACCCACCTTCACCCCATGCACGTCACTGCCAATGGTGCCAGCAGCTTAGAGGGGTCAGTTCTGTCGCCAGTGGGGAGACTGAGGCATAGAGGGGCAAGGCAGTGTGCCCTGGGCTAGTGCAGAGCTCAGGTTCGCAGCCACAGCCTTTCCTGAACTGCATTTGGAGTCAGGTCCTCCACCAGTCCAGCTTCCCCAGAACTTGTCACTGCCGTGCACGGACCAAATGGTTCCCAGCCTAAGCGGGGAGGATGCCAGGTTCGGTCTCTTCCACCACGCAGGACTACCCTCTTGGGAGTCCAGGTCTTCCTCACTGCCGCTCTCTAGGCCTGAGCTAGGTGTGGGAAAGTCATGGGGTGGTGCTTACCTGGGAACAGACCTGGCCAGAAGGTGGGACCGCAGTGCATGAGGTGCAGCATGCAGTGGGGCTGGGGCTCCTTGAAGGGCAGCTTCTTACTCACCATGGCATAGAGGATGACACCTCTGGGGACATGAGCTCCTACAGGTGTGGCCTCTCCCCAGCCCTCCTGTGGGCCCTGGCCACAGGGTTGGGGTGCCCTGGGGGCACTCAGACTCCACAGGTTGCCCCATTGCCTGGGGTCAGGGCTCCCTGGGAGGCACTCACAGGCTCCACAGGTCGGCCTGCTCCCTGCTATACTTGCTGCTCATGAGGATCTCGGGCTGTGTAGACTGGGGAGTCACAGAAAGTGCTGAGCAGTGAGTTCCTGGGCCCCATGCAGTCGGCAAAGCCAAAATCTGTACCAGGTGCATGGGGGAGGGTGGCACTGTGTGTGAGGGTCGGGTGCAGGATGCCAGTCTGCAGGGATGGCTGTGGAGGCTTGCGGGGTTGCATGCAGTGTGTGGCCGACAGCAAGAGTGTGGGATGAGGTGGGCCTGGTCTGGGGCAGGGCCAGTGGCCTCAGGCCCGTGGGTAAGGGTGGCCTGCAGGCCTTCTGGGAGAGCTGAAGGCAGGGGCCTGGCTGGGACAAGCGTGGGGTGTGGGCCCTGCAGGTGGAGGCATTCAACCCCAGGCTAGGGGTTAGGGCGGGGGCTGTGGGCTCACCGGTCAGCTTGAGAAGGCCGTGGTCATCCAGCAGGATGTTCTCGCCCTTCAGGTCCCTGCATGGGAGAGGGGAGGCAGGAGGTAGGGCTGGCTTGGGCTCAAGTGGGCCTCTCTGTGCCTGTGGGCACACGATCGACCCAGGTGCCGCTGTCTCTGGTACGCGATGCCCATGCTGTGGTAGTGTGCCATGGCACTGACCAGCTGCCAGAACAGTCCAAGGACTTCCTTCTCCTCCAGCCCTGGGTGGCAGAGGTGGTCCAACGCAGCGTTGATGTGCTCCAGCAGGTCGCCCTGGGCCACCAGCTCCGGCACGAGCTGGCTGCTCTGATAGGTCTCATACAGCTGCACCTGCAGCCCACACACCTGCCATCACCCTGAGGCAGGGCCAAGGGTGTGCTGGAACTGTCAAGGGTACCAGACCCAGGTTCCGGGATGGGGTTGGGCTCCAGCCCGGGGGCGAAAGGGAGGTCCAAGGTAGGGGGAGGGGGCAATAGGCCTGGGGCAGGCAGCTGGCTGGGGAGAGCTACCCTTGGGGAAGGGGAGGGTGGGGACAGGCTGTGTCCAGGCCTCTGCCCACCACGTTCAGGTGCTTGTAGGTAGTGTTGAGTGATAGAGATCTCACGGGGCAGGAGCTCGCGGGAAAACTCCACCGGGGCCTCGGTTGTGGAGACGATCTTGACAGCTATCTGTAGGGTGGATGGCACTTGCTGTGTGAGACTTGGCCCCTGAGGGGCTGGCTGTGGTAAGGCAGGCCCCTGTCCTTTATACACTTTGCTGGAATCCTCAGGGGGGGACGCTGGGTGAGCAGTGCCCTTGGAGAGCAGCGATGACCTCCCCACTCCCTCCTGTGCCAAGTACTCTGTGTTCAAGGGGTTTGGGAACAGGGGATGGTCAGCCTGCAGGAGCCCCAGAGAGGCCTCTGGGGAGGAAATGGGACTGGGGAGAGTCTCAGACGGAGGAAGCTGGAGCAGCTGGATGGTGCCTGAGTGGGTTTGGGACACAGAGGGGCCTGCTGGCCAGGCTGGGGGGCACTGGAGCCCCTTGGGGAGGGAGGTAAGCCTGCCTTACCATGGTGTGGCGCTTGCCCTGCAGATCAGAGGACAGCTTGGGGTTGTGGTGCATGCACTCGTGGGTGGCATCTGCCAAGTACACTTTGGGGAACAGGTAGCCATTGTCCTTGCCCTCATGTATCTGCTCTGTGAAGGTTCTCTGATCCAGCTTCTGCCTGCTGCTGCCCTTCACGGAGGGCAGTGCATGGGAGGGGGTGTAGTGGTCCAGTTTCACCAGTCTTGGGGGGCACGACTGGGCCTGACTTGTGTCAGAGGGCAGGGGCCAGGGAGGTGGGGGGCGCTGGGTGGGAACTGCGTCCTTCTTGAGGCAGCAGCCACGCTTCTGAAGACTTGCTGGGACTGCGGCAGAGGCAGGGAGTGATGGGGCTGTGAGCTCAGGGCGGGGGCTGGCACAGCCCTGGACTGGGCAGGGGGAGGGCTAGCTTGGGGAGAGGAAGGGCAGGTTCTAGAATGGAGAATTCTAGAGCTGTACCTGCATTGTGCCCTCGAAGCGTACGTCTTCTCATTTTGGGGACCTGCCCGCTCTGAGGAAATCTTGTGGGACCAGTCCTGCCCACATGGGGCCTACTCTCTGTGAGGTGAAAACCCAATTCAAGAGCTATAGCCAGGGTGAGGCCTCTGTGGACCCCTCTTGACGTGGCTTACCACAGAAAGCCATTAAAGAAATGAGGGTGGGGATTTCTGGGGCATAAAGACAGGAAAAGGGACACATACGTGCCAACCACCATTTCAACTGCACCCCTTCGTCCTTCGAGAGGATACCACGGCCACATTCAGCTGGGCCCTAAGGTGGGCTGAGCCAGAGGAAGGCGTGCAGTTGAAATGGTGGTTGGAGCCCTGTCTGTCTCCCAGCCTTCTCCACTGGAGCCTGAAGCACCTCCTGCCCAGGCCAGCAGGGTGCAGGAAGCCTCCCACCTAGAGACCTCTGCAGACTTGACCACACACCCTAGGGCAAGCAAGGACCCCACCCCTGAGCCCACCTCTGATCCTACAGCTCCAAGAGACAGAAGCCAACTTTGCCCCTCCCTTCTGGACCCCAGAGTGCGCTGTGGGCACTATTGCTGCTAACGTTTGAGTGCCAGCTGTGTGCTGGGTGCCATTCTGGGCAGTCACACCAGCTACAGCTACCACCTGTAGCAGTCCTGCCCCCATTCACAGAACACATTCAGGTGCCCAGCCCGTGGGGGCAGTTCACATCCAGGATCTCAAGTCCTAACACAACCAAGCAATCCTCGCTTTACAAATGATGAAATTAAGGCCCCATGGTGGGGAAGCCCAACCCAAATGTGCCATCTCTGCTGTGAGCTGGACAGCACAGTGGCTGTCAGCCTGGAGGGCAGCCATCCTGAGAATGTCTGCAAGGGGCCAGTGCTTGGTACAGACCAGTGAGTCTGGGGAATTGGAGTCTCCTCTACCGAGATCTGTGGGTGCATGTGGCATGTTTGCTGCAGAAAAGGCCCTGGAATGGGCTGGCTTGAACTGGAAAAACACACTTTTTCATCCCTTTTGGACCATGAGCTTTTGAGAGCAAGGCATGTGTTTGATATTCCTTTGCTCACCCTCATCCCTTGTTTGGCAAATTGCCTGGGATACAGGAAATAAGGACAAGATCTGGGTGTAGTGCCTCATGCCTGTAATCCCAGCACTTTGGGTGACCAAGGCAGGAGGATCTCTTGAGTCCAGGAGTTTCAGACCAGCCTGGGTAACATAGTGAGACCTTGTCTCTGCAAGAAAACTTAAAAATTAGCCAGACTTGGTGGTGCCCACCTGTAGTTCCAGCTATTTGGGAGGCTGAGGCAAGAGGATCACTTGAGCGCAGGAATTTAAGGCTGCTGTGAGCTGTGATCGTGCCACTGCACTCCAGCCTGGGTAACAGTGAGAGGCCTCATTTCAACAATAAAACCTAGCTTGGGCCGAGCGCGGTGGCTCACGCCTGTAATCCCACAACTTTGGGAAGCCGAGACTGGCAGATCACGAGGTCAAGAGATCGAGACCATCCTGGTTAATATGGTGAAACCCCATCTCTACTAAAAATACCAAAAAAAGTAGCCTGGTGTGGTGGCGGGCACCTGTAGTCCCAGCTACTCAGGAGGCTGAGGCGGGAGAATGGCGTGAACCTGGGAGGCAGAAGTTGCAGTGAGCAGAGATTGTACCACTGCACTCCAGCCTGGACGACAGAGCGAGACTCCCTCTCAAAAAACAAAAACAAAAACAAAAACAAAAACCCAGCTTGGGCAACATAGTGAGACCCTGTCTCTTCAAAAAATTTAAAAATCAGTCAGGTGTGGTGGTGTGCCCTGTGGTCCCAGCTACTCCAGAGGCTGAGGTGCGAGAATCACCTGAGCCCGGGGAGGGTGAGGTTGCAGTGAGCACCACTGCACTCCAGCCTGGGTGACAGACCTCACAAAAAACAAACTGGTTTGTGGTTGACCTGGGGGTGAGGAAAAAAGAGAAACTGCTCCAGGCAATTTAAGCAGGTGGGACTGGTTGCTCGTGTTAGAAGGGCTGGAGAGGCACGGGGGCAGGGTGGAGTTCGTCGAAGGTGGGGGCTGCAAGAAACGGCCACTCTAGAACCGGAGCCAGGTGGTCCCGACCCAGGGTAGCTGAGCCTCTGGGCTCTGCAGCGGAGCCTGGGAGCCTGCGCCCCCTGCGGCGCACCTCCTCTCCCTCCCGGCTCCCACCAGTGCCAGGACGCGGCCGGAAGCCCGCGAGTGTCAAGCCAACTGATGACTGCAGGCTCAGAACGGCCATTGGCTCTGTCCACCCTCCCTTTGCAGTCTCGATTATCCGCGTCGTTGGCTGCACTTGAATTCATTCCCGGGCTTCACTGGGCAGCCGTCCGGTGCTGGGCTTTGTGCGGAGCCCTAGGGAGAAAATGCAGACTCAGGCCTGCCCCCTGGCGGAAGGGCTGGCGCTTGTTTGCGGTCGGAGCGAAAGCGGGGTTGTGCTGCGCGCAGCAGCTGTGTGCGTGGCGCCGAGGCGACTCCGAGACCGGGAGGGGACAGGGCCACAGGCGCGTGGCAAGTCGCCGCAGGGGCCGCGCCCACATCCGCGAAGGGTCCTGTGCTCTCCTGGGCGCCGTCCCCACAGCGGGAGCCCAGTCCCTCCGGCCTGGAGTGGACATCCTGCCTGCGCTGCTCCCGCCGCCTCCGCCTCTGCCGACGCCCAGCCTGGACGCGCGGCGGGCGCTTTCCTTCCTCACATCGCTCTTATCGCGTCCCGAGCTCCCGGGACCCCGCTGGCCGCCTCTTTCCCAACGAGCGCAGGGCCCCGAGTGTCCTGCCCCTCTCCCGGTGTCGCGGCCTCCAGCGGCCGCTTCCGGGTAGACAGAGGGCGGGCGTGTGCTTGCGAGCGGCCGCAACGCCGCGCCAAGCCCGCGTCCCCGGCGTCTGGGAGCGGAGGTCGCCAGGGCTCTGTGCGTCCGACGGGGGAACGGGGACGGCTAGCGTCGCTGTCACGGGCCTGAAGGCCGCGCCTGCGCAGTGGCGGCCGCGCTGGCGCTCTTCAGACAGAGGCGGTGGCCCAGGAGCGGCCGGGGGCGGGGCCGAGCGAAAGCCGAGTCTGCGCACTCTTGCTTTGCAAATGAAGGTGGGCGGGGTGGAGCGAGCGTGAGAGACGTGCACCTGACCAATAACTGCGGAGATCGTTCGGGGGCGGGGACCTATTGCCGCGCTCCGGGCTGCGGTTGGCCAGAAGGCAGCGAGGGCGGGCTCGGCGCGCGAGGCTCCGCCCACTCCGGGGCCCCTGCTGGGCGGGAAGGCGGCGCCCCGGCGGAGGTGGCGGCGGCTCCTCAGGTAAACGGCGGGCGGGGATGAGCCTTCGGCGGCGCTGGGGAAGCGCCTCCCGGGGAAGTCTGGGCTGGAGAGCCTGAGGCCGCTCCCTTGGCGGGGCCGCGGAGGAAGCCGAGTCAGGAGGCGCCTCCCCAAGGTCACAGGGCGAGCGCTGGGAGGGTCCTGGGTGTCGCGGGGACCTTGGCTCAGGTGTGCGCCGCGCGACAGCCCGGAAGAGAGGCCGGAGCTGTGCGGCTGTTCTCTCCTCCGCGCCGCTAAGTGGTCTCGGCCGCTCGACCGCCCCTCCTCGGGGAGCGCGGTGGTCCCAGGTGCCCGCCCCTCCCGGGAGCGCGGTGGTCCCCGGTGCCCGCCCCTCCCGGAAGCCCGGTGGTCCCCGGTGCCCGGCCCTCCCCGGGAGCGCGGTGGTCCCCGGCCCTTCTCCCCCAAGCGGGGCCACCGGGGGTCCTCTCTCCGGGAAGCCAAGCATACGCCTGGAGCCTGCAAAGCCGGCGTGCCCCGGCCTCCGTATGCCTTCCGTATTCTCTGACGATCGCGAGCAGGAAGGTGATTTGTCCCTAGTCACGAGGATGACTGGTCATAGCGTGCAGGGCATAGAGCTGGCAGGGCCGCGGGGAGCCAGCCCTCACTCAGCCAAGGTGAGACCTAGGGGCTGCTGGGCAGGAGCTGAGCGGCCGATTTGGGGTCGGGTTTTCGGGCAGCGTCAGTGCAGCCGCAGTGTTAGGGTCAGAGAAACCACTCCGCGGGCGCTGGTGGCTCGGCCCTACACACACTGGGGAGGGGCTCCTTTGCCTGCTCGGGTGGGGAAGGGACAGACCCATAAACTCAAGTGCAGTGAGGTAAGCAGAAAGGGGTACGGGGGCGTGGCCGAACTCAGGGGTGTGAGCAGAGTTGGGTCGGGGACAGCCCCGTAGGCAGGAACCACTTTGGAAGGGGATGGTGGTGAACGCACACGATGCGGTAAGACGCAGGCAGGGTAGGGCGGGTGATAAGTCAGGTGAGGGTGATGAGTTTAGAGCTGTTGGGTCTCAGTGCGATGACCATGGATGGAGATGTCCTGGGGAGGCGAGGGCTGGAGATGCGTGTGGGAATCGTTGTTTGCGGCATGTTTCATCGGCGGTACGTGTTTGTGATGTGGCTGCATGGACAGTCTGGGCACCCTGGGGTGCTGCTGTCAGCAGGATCTTCACTGCTTAGTCTCAGGCTCCCAAGGTCCTCGTGAACAGGTGTCTCTGGTCTCTCTCTGATGTCAGAGTGGAATGACCTGAGGTTGAGCTGTCTTTGTTAACTTGAAACTGACATGCAGGCCTCTGTGGCTTGTGGAGACCTGCACTTCATCATTTCCCACTGGCTGGTGTTGATTGCTGACTGCTGCAGGACACCAGGGGATCAGAGGTGGAGGATGTGGGGCGTGTGTTTGCCTGAGTTTGTGGCTGTCGCCTGTGTCAGGAAACAGGTGCCTGTGCTTAGTTTTCTTTCCCAGGGTCCACAGAGGCCCAGGAGAGAAGCCTGGTTGCTACCCTCTGTCTCATAGCCCCCTTTCACAGAGCTGGTTATTTGGGGTAGAGACATCCTTTGTCTGTGCCAGTCCACACAGCTTGGTCTCTTTGGGGTAGGAGCACCATGAAAGGCTCCCGTGGCTCTTGCGAGCTCCTAGTCAGTGCTCAGAGAACACGGACTGCTGCCCATCATGAGAAATGTGCTTTCTTCACTGAGCT